TCCATTACATCTCCCCCATCTGATCATTAAATCACCAATTAAATGATCAATAAAACAAAAAAACTCTTTAATGTATTTAAAAAAAAAACATAACATAGTATATGTACTTTTCTGAAATCCCAATCCCAGTAATTAAATTTTTAATCCTCCCAGACATAAAAATATTTAATTCAGAGTGACCAATCTTTAACTTTGTCCACTCTTCTAACTCCTCCTCTTCTTCCACAGCATTAAGACTCATAATGCTCTGTTTACACTCTTGTTGAACAGGGTCCTCAATTTCATCCCATCTCCTGTTCTCAGTTGATGGTTTGGTGTTCTCTGGTGGAGAAGAAATGGTCAGTTATGCTTCAGTTGTAGGTTGGGGAAATCCATTTTCTGGTTCCTCTGTTTGTGATGCTGATGAATCCAGATGTTCTTCCGGTTCTGCAGCTTGAAGTAACTTCTCTCTCTCTGGTTCTGATTCTGCAGCAGTCTTCTTWTCAGTAACTGGCACGCTGTGTTCCATKAATATCTCAGTTTTCTCCAGCTGTCCTTCAGACGTCAGCTGTTGTGGTTTTTCCTGTTTGTTTCCAGCCYGAACTTTGTTCAGGAAATATTTCATGTTTGAAGCCAGAAGTTGTGCTCCAGTTTGATTCAGTCATTCCATCAGACTTGAAGAGATGTTTTCTRTCCCAGAAGAGGTCAAAGTTATCCACAAAACTGACAGAGTGATCAACACAGGATTTTTCCAAAAAAACATTAAGGGCCAAGAGCCTGCTGAACCTCTCAGCTCCTCCTCTGGCTGTAGGAATGGGCCCACTGAGGAACACATCAATGTTGAGATTTTTAACTGCATTCAGCAACTGAATAAAATCCTTCTTCAGGATTTCTGACTATCAATTCATAACTTCATCACTTCCTATATGAATGATGAGCTTCTTCAGAGTTGGATATTCAGCTGTGATTTCCAGAATCTTCTCTGTGAGGTCAGACACTTTATCAGCAAAACTCAGAACTTTGACTTTTTTCTTGTTCCAGAAGCCTCTGATCTCAGTCACCATTTTATCTTGATGATCAGCATTTCTTGATTRTTGAAAGTCTCTTTTTGGACCAGCTTTGTCTTTGGGTTGGATCTGGATCTGGTCTCAGGTCCCTCTCTGAGGTCAGCAGATGAACTTTGTTCAGACTCACGAGTTTCTTCCAGTGGTGTAAATCTGTTTTGAAGAAAGACTGCTGCGTTTCTCTGGCTGTTATCGGGTGTTTTGACTACAGCCTGTCGCTGCTTTATTCTCCTTGCTGGAGGAGAAAAAACATTTCTCTGTAATTCTGGCCATTCATTGTCATCTAAGAGCTGAATCCTTCCTGAGAGATTTTTTGGTCTGGCCCCAACAGAGTTCCATACAGCTTAACCCTCAGAAGCAGCTTCCCTCTCCTTGTCCAGTGGATCTCTCATCTCAGCCTTCTCACCCATTTTAACACATGTTGAGTTCTCCAAAGCATTCATCGCTTCCAGACGATGAATCTTGAGCTCCAACACCGTCACCTTTTGGAGAAGCTGGCAGAAATCCTCTTTGGAAAAGTAAGGAGAAGCTTTTACTCACTCTCAGCAGACGATGTTCCAAAAATCTTCTCAGGTTCTTCAACAGCCAAAAAAAAAAAAAAATTCAATGTCCTTTTCTT